AGATGTTCTAAATCACCGGTTTCTGTTACTTATGAATGTTATAATGTTCAGATAAGTAGTTTACCATTCAGATAGCCTAGATTTCACATATTTTTAAAACAAGACGGAAAGTCTCAATATTGTTTCGGTTGTCAAACAGCGTATATGTGAATCATTTAAATAAAAAAGTCATTTACTCAGTATGAAATTTGTAATTTCACTGACTGGTAAAACTGTTCAATAATAGCATCAGTTCCCTTTCGTTTTTTACAAATCTAAATGCTCATGACCTTTTCATTCTCTGTTTATGACCTATTTTACTCCCCAGTGTAATAATGGTCAATAGTGTCATGTTTCTTTATTCCTGTTTTTGTCAAAATCTGAAATAGACCCTACGTTATTTTAAAATATTTTCAGAAATTGTTATAATAATGATAAAGATTGTTTGTACTACATTTAGTCAGTTTAGCGTTTTCTCACTAGAAAATTATTCTGATATGTATTCACCCTAAAAATATGCATGATGACTTTGTAGTATCTGGCGAAATATAACAGTCACAATATATTTTAGGTACACTTATTAAGTCTATATTTATGAGTTTCAGTTGGACAAATTACAACCGTTTTGTAGTTCTCATGTGTCAGTAGGTTACTGCGATGACGTTTAACCGACAAGCTCACTCAGATTCATAGATGAATTATGAAATTCAAGTTGATCACATATTCCTTTTATTTTTGATATGGTTTAGGCTACTTAAATTTTGCTAGTAGTACAATTATCTCCTCAATATTATTTAATTTCTAAAACTACACGAAATTTAATTTAGTCCTAAGCTGTGAAAAAGCACGACAAATTATATAGGGGACTCTTGGTAGCCAAGTTTGAATATAATTTATTTGCTACACAATTTAAATCCACCTATGGAAACTTAGTTTTCACACATGCTTCATATCATGCATCGTGATTTAAGTTTTAAAATCAGTCAGACAACAATAGAAAACGAGGAAGGTGTAGACACCTGTTTCGTTTTTCTATGGAGCTCCTTATTATCGTGCATCCACAACCTCACTAAGAAAGAAACATAAAATCTCTTTGCTCTCGTAGTCAGAGCTTAACGTTTTGACCACTGAGCCAACTAGTGTTCTTGTTACATATAATGTATAGGAAATATTTGTGGGATTAATATATGCTAGGTGAAACGACCATGAGCTAAAAGATCCTACAAAATATTTCACCTAAAATCTCATCAAACATACCGGTAGGTGTAAGGATCTTATTCATGTTTGTGATTATTACGTTCAAAGTCCTAAATATGACTGTTATCGATAGTTAGTTAAAATTGGTTTTAATCAACATTTGTTTTATCTCATAGTTTTTTGGAAATATATATCAGGAAAGATTTCTTTTCGAGGACTATGATGATTTATGTACTTTTTTGAATGGTTTAATTTGAGAGAAAACATGTAAGCATAATAAAATCTGAAGAAGGTATTCGGTTGAAGAGAAAACATATTTCTTTTAAAGATTGTTTCTTTTCTTTTTGCCTAAATGATCAGGAATCTAATCTTGTAATGCCAGATTTTCCAGAATCTTTGAACGTTTTGTCAAAAACTGATGATTTTCTTTTGAAGAGGTATTGAAGTGTTTGAGCTATTTAGTATATATTCATAAATAAGGTAAATTATGGCTTGAATATCGACTTATTTAAGTTAGAATATATTTTTATAGTGTTTTCTATTTTATTTGTAATATTTTGATTGAGATAAGTAAATCAAGAAAACAGTAGACGACGAGACTTGAGAGTAATCAAGTCCATGTTTTAAATTATTCACATATAATTAACTAGAATCTGTTGTGATAATACACAATCCCATTAATTTTCTACTACTCAATATCTTTCTGTTTTAAAGCCAATTATCTTCTTAAGTGAACTCTTTTATAATATTCAGTTGAATTTACGTTTGTTGTCCGAACTGAGCCTACATTTAGAAAAAGACTATAATCAAGGTGGATTTATTATATTGTAGTCCATCATCTTTTAATATAATGTTAAACTACAATCAAACCTTTATGAAATCTCTTACGTAATACGTTTTAAGTAGGCATTTATTAATAGTTTCATATCCATTATTATTATTATTATTATTATTATAAGCTTTATTCAATATTATATAATACAATATTATACAATATAGAATTCTCAGCACAAAGTATTTCAACAAGTTTCCATTTCTTTCTTCTTGGTTGATCCTGACGATAAATATTGAGTGATAGTCAGTTAGATGTTAGCAGTCCAGTAAATAAACATCTGAATAATGTATATTCTTTTCTCTGCATATTGCCAGCGACCACATTATCTCTTATTGAGCTTTTTGTAACTTTGACAACGAAAGGTTGTAAACTTTTCAGAAATGCACTAGGATGGGTTATGCGATTAATATACATAATGATATATATCTTCACTTATAATCTTCTATGGTAAACTGGATTCGTCTAACTCTTTCTACGAGTTCAATTTTTTATTTGATAAGCATATTTTAGAAAAATTATACTACAGTTGTAAAATATTTAAATTTCATAATATCTAATTTATTGTAGCTTTGACCATGAATTAAATGTTTGCACAAATCTCAACTTAATTACTTTTATCTACCATAATCTCCTAGTCATATTTTAAACAATAAAGTGTTTGAAAATAGAAATCTGGTATAACTTGTGACCGCCGATTAGAGAGCAGTGACTTATCGTTCGGATCAAAGACGCGTAAGCCCGTAAGAGCAGCCTAGAGTTCTGACTGGCCCTGCTTTCCGCCCAGCCCATTCAATTAATTCAAGAACATCAATCCGAGCCCCTGCGATATGAATCATTATATTTCAGACATACTGAGTTTATATACCAATCAAACAGACCACAACGTACCAATAAAATATGAAACAACATTTGTACAAGAATTAGCCAGATGTGGCTGTGAATGAGGGAGGTAGTAATTAATGTACTAGGTATAACTCAAGAATGGTAAAACGTATAATAATAATTTATGGGTCAAAATAAAGCTTATAATAATAGAAATAAGAATATGCATAGTATAGTTACTTAATAACTAAACGATAGAAACATACGTTTAGTATCGGTCCATCAACAGATCCCAAAAGTTACCATCCAACATTCTTGTCGGGACATAACAAAATCTAATTTAGTAATTGACAAGTACATTAATAAATAATAAGCAATACATTAGACAACTATGATTTCGACATATTATGCGAATTTGATTTTTCTATCTACTTTGTAAAAGTAAATGGAATTGTATGCAACTGAATCCATTGATAACATAGAACATAGCAAGTATAAAATGGTTTGTTGAATAAAAATACAAATTCTCAGCAGCTGCAAATAACCTAAAATTACAATTATTAATATAATTAATAACAAATGTCTTAACATATTTCGATTTCTGAAGTTTAGATATGTATCTTAAGGCATGGATTGGCAAACGTTGGGCATCGTTCTTACAATAGAAGAACATACAGGACTCAAAACAACAATAAACTAATATTAAACTCCGAATCTTCAATACGAACGTCGAAACAGTGAGGTATATTGTACGGAGCTAAAACGTAGAGAACTACTACAACTGTCATTGAAATAGTACAAATATTTATAAACAATTGTTTACGAAAGATACTTAATGTTTGTTGACCGAATACCATCAGCAGCATCCTACTGTAGAAGAGAACAAATCAACTCCCAGCTGAGGAGGGAATTCGGGAAAAAATTTCAGGGAAGATAAGATGCATTATGCGGAAGTCATCAAACTGCATTACGAGGTAAGCCCTAACTTGGAAGGGAGAACATAGAGAGGAAAACCAAGAAACACATTGTTTCTGCAATTGTAGGCGGAGATCAAAGGAATGAATAGCATTTGGAAACAACTGAGAAATATTTCCCAAAAGAGTTAGGTAAAGGATCTTGGTCGTCTGTCTATGTTCCAAGAGGAGTAGCAGTCGTAAGTAACTTGAAACATAATCACAATCACAATAATAAGAATAGGATACAATCTGTATAGGTAAGTATAGTGAATCTGCGATGTTTGTATCAAGTGATAAACATGTTGTACATAATTACACGTTTTATCTGTATATATTTAACAGAAATACATGTACACAAGTTTACGGCATTTTCTAGCCTTTACAACCTACGTCACTAGTAGAGTGAACATTATGATTGAACAAATATGAGATTCCTGTTTCATTAAATCTGTACAATACTGCTAATCATCCTAGAATCAGACTCATCCTTTACGTTATGAAAATATCTCGCTTGTATATTACTTCTAGTAAAAACATATTATTAAGAAAATACATTTACAAAATTCTGAGGTCATGATACTTTTCATTCATTCATTCATTCACTCACTCACTCACTCACTCTTTCACTCACTCACTCACTCACTCACTCACTCACTCACTCACTCACTCACTCACTCACTCACTCACTCACTCACTCACTCACTCACTCACTCACTCACTCACTCACTCACTCACTCACTCACTCACTCACTCACTCACTCACTCACTCACTCACTCACTCACTCACTCACTCACTCACTCACTCACTCACTCACTCACTCACTCACTCACTCACTCACTCACTCACTCACTCACTCACTCACTCACTCACTCACTCACTCACTCACTCTTTCACTCACTCACTCACCCACTCACTCATTCACTCACTCTCTCGATAATTCAAGCTATAAACCTTGACAGAATAGAAATAAAAACTCACTTCTTCAACTATGAATCAAATCTAATTTATCTTAAGGTGTAAAATATCATAAACTTTTAATGTTTTATTAATAAAAACACAATTTGTTTTTCTATAGCAAAAATTGAGAAATAACATGAATATGTTTGTTTTCTTTTAAACCATAAATAAGACTTTATATATTGGTATCATGACAACAGTTGTATCCATTTCAATGACTGGTTGAATAATATAAAGATAACATTGATCAAAATTATGTTTTTGTTATCTGTTAAATAAATCAAAATGAAAAGGAAATAATGATAATCATAATAATATTGTTTAAATGAATTTCAATCAAATGCCTTATATTGGATTGAAATTTTGTAAATAGAATAAATTCATATCTACATTAATGAATATGTTCCATGTTTTCATTATTACCATTGGAAAGAACAATAAAGATAGTGTGGTGTGTGCTACTTATATTGACATAAGTAGTATATGATGTTAGTCGGGAACAGAAGGTCTGGCAGAAGAGAGACAAGAGGATCAAAATGTAAAGAATGGAAACAGAATGCAATTCTTATGAAACTGCAAGAACAATGAAGTCTGATTCATTTTGAGACAATTGGTGGACATTTTGCAAATTAAGCATTTACTTTATGATTATTAGATTTTATTAACAAGTCCTGTAATTTTGTGCACAAATACATTCGGTTGTCCTCACCCGTGTTCCGTTTACTACAATACCATGTAAAATCTGCTTGAAGACTTATATATATCAAGAAACAGCAATCACTGATTATTTCATACAATAACTTCCCTTTATGAATTTAAATAAAGCTAGAAAAACATTGATGCATACACCACCAATCCTTAATGTTTCCTTGCTTCCAAAATCAAAATAACCTTCTGACCTGTTCTTGCATGTATATATATATATATATATAGTTATTATTGATAACTTTTGTCATTCCAATTCTTTACATTCACTTATGTTAATTGTTCCATACAATTTCTTACCTGAATGTAAAATTCTATCACATATTTGGTTGTAAGCGGCTGATGAGAAACGATGAAATATAATAAATTCATATTATTCTGCATCAACATTTGTTCTTGCTTTATTTAAATAACTAGACACTATGTATAACTAATAAAAGGAATGAGTACATTGTACTGTTTGTAATAATGAGTGCATATTATTTATCAATAATTACAGTGTTATCAAAGATTAATTGTTATAAAGAAATACCTGTAATTCATTATGAAATTTATGTTGTAGGATACATTTCATTGACAAGAATTTTTAGAAATAGTTGATAGGGAAGTACATTTTTCCGACCTCAAACGATTCGAATAACTATTTAGTTTAGATTCATTTGGTATTTTAAAGAGAGCAAAAACAAAAATTCGTGCAGAATAATATGAATTCATTTTATTTCGTTAGGTTCTCATCAGGTGCTTACAACCTAAATTATCTGAAATTCAACATTATTACAGATATTGACATACTTATACATAAGAGTGTGATTAAGGATGAATATATGTGTATCATGATGTAGCGAAGATTCCGATAGAGTTATTGAGATCATAAAAATTTGTTTCGAATAAATAAAGTTTGGGAGGGAAGGTTCCAGAACATTGAATTAGTGATTAGAAATCATGGAATTAAAACACATTAGATTATTGTTCAATGAAATAACTGAAAATGGATTAATGATGTAATTCTAAAATTCAGAAAGAGTTGGAATGACGTAATTAATAAAAGGGAGGGGGGTAATGTTACCAGGGCAAAGAAAGACTTATTACTGTTTCTTTTTGTATACAAAGATCTGGTTTTAAACGTTTGATTGCTATCGCTTCTGCAAATTTCAAAAGGTTTGAATTTGTTTACTTGAATCTTTCCATTGATGTTTAGCACTATAATTGATCAGTATCTTGGTTTAACCTTAACTTTAAACAACAAATATTATCCATGTTCTGTGACAAATGTACACGCATCATTTTTTGTAGAAATATTCCCTGTAAGCTGAAATCTATTTTTAAAAAATGGTAGTATGGTGAGATCACAGTTTCGTGGTTTGGCTAATTATGTGTATTTATAGATTTAACTATTTATTTACAAGTCTTTAGCGAACAATATAAGTTGATTGGGAAAAAAAACTTCGATTGTTTAACTATTAGACCTACTTTCTGAGAGTTTAATAAATTTGCTAATTTTATCGCTTCTGGACGTGGTGGAACAGACATCACAAAAGGTATTACATTATCGAACGATCCAAAAGTAAGCGTTTTATCAATTTCAGATGCCTGTAGCAAATCTTTAAAGGGAAACAGTAGCTAATTTTAATATATATTAATGTAAAAATGACCATATAGAAAAAAAAATTAGATGTGCTATTTTAAAATTAAAGGAAAACTATGCTAAACATCTTAACGAAATATAATTGTGAAAGAAATTCTCTTCATGAACTAAAATTGACTGGGGAACCAACAGTTTCGACCCACTTATGGGTAAATGAGGCTATTTTCAGATACGTTCAACACTGCGGAAAGTTACGTGCATAAAGGTTCTCTTTAAAAGATTCCTCGGTGTACAATAATGTTTTTTATACGATTACGTTTTGAAATATTTCAGTTTAATATCGTATAGTAAAGAATGAAAAGTCGAGCACAATATTGAAGTCAATTATATCAGGTAGACCTTTCTTAAGTTTGAACTCTTAAGTATAGTTTACATATAGTTATGATAGTTCCAAATATATTCAAGATTACTAGCCTATTTGCATGACAGTTTGTTGATAATATTACTTACCACCTTCATTTTCTTCAATCACTTCATTTTTTGAATCCCTAATTCAATGAAAATATAAATTTTGAATGAATTTGTAACATACTTCGTACTAACTTTGATTTCATTCAACTGTTGATTTATAATACCATCTGATTGTAAATTGATAAGAAAAATATTCATAACAGAATATTTACCTTCTTCATCCGATAATAGAATTTGTGTTTCAGACAAGGGTACAACAGATTCATTTAATTCACTTACAGTGGGGTTGACTGATTCTTCTAAACTTATTTCTGAAACCGTTGAAAGTCGAGCTTCTTTGAAAAAAAAGATAATTGGAATAAAAACATGTTTACCCGAGAAATTGGAATCCAACACTGTTGCATCACTTAAAAATAAAGATAGAGAGTATAGCAAAACAAAATTAATTAACAGCAATCATTAAAACTAAGAAAAATCTCCATTTTTAAAATGGTGAGATGTATTATGTAACACATGAGGAGTGTATCAGTATTTATGTTTAATGAACTATAAATGCATTCATAACTGTCATTTGATTTCATCTATTTCTTTCCTTCTTATATAAATTGCCTGGAATGTCAATCAACCTTTTGTAAGCAAAATCAGGGAATATTACTTTACATCATTGGGGCGCTTTCTTTATGATTATAAATCTAAAAGCAAATAACTTAGTTCTTTAATTAGACTAAAATTGTTCTCAATTGCAGATTTATATTTCCATGAATGCTTGTATAAAGCATTGATCTGCTTAGTTGATTTCACTTATCACAAATTCTCGTTATATAAACACATCATAACTTATCAGATGTCAATCCTATAAAGTGAACAGTATAATTTAGATTGAATTATAGGAGATTAAGTAATTTAGTGATGAAAACAAATAACCCGATGAATCTAACTTGAATCATTTTACTATTGTTTATACACAGTAGAATTGTGATTACCATCATGAAGTTTCTCTCTTAGATCTTTCATCTATTTATTTTATGTATATCAGTCAAGTGTGAGGAGAAATCATTTACTGATGTAGTAATCATATCGGAATTAAACAGGTTAGTTTTTATTCTCAAATTGTCAATATTATGCAAAACGATTTAATTTACTCGTGATGTTTATTGTGCTAAGGAATATATTGTAGTATGTTGTAGCTGAAGATGTTTTTTTTCAGGAACTTACTTTATTTGCTGAGTCATTGTAATGATTACCATTTAAATGTATTTGAATTTTCACTGGTTGAAATAATGAGTCAATTGAAGCTAGACCACCATGGAAAACCTGGAAGCAATGAACGGCCGTTTCGTCCTGGTATGGGACTCCTCAGCAGTGCGCATCCACCATCCCGCACTCCGTGAGATTCGAACCGAGGACAGGTTTTCCATGGTGGTCTAGCTTCAATTGACTCATGATTTCAACCAGTGAAATTTCTAAAAATCTCCACAAAACCCATTCTGATAGTATTTGAATTTGTTTATAGTTAAAAGGAGGATATAAAATTTCAATGAGTACACAATATAAATTATAAATAATGAATAAACTTCGTTTAGAATGAAAAATCTATATTTAACTAAACTTAAGTGGATACAAATATCCCATTAAACAGTGCTATTTTATTCCATTTCACTATAAGTATCTATGGGTATATGAAATAAAACTAACAAACATTTGAAATGGATCTATACAGATTTTAGAGGAATAAAAGGTTGAATTACCATATTGAGTTTTCAGTTTTGCTTATTTTTGACTGCGAACATTCTAAATCATCGGTTTGTATTTGTGAATCTTTCTTTTCTTCAAATTCTCTCTATTAAATGGTCAGCATCAAATATGAAATTCAATAAAATGTTTACATTTATTATCAAGTATATTGACGTTAACAAATATTGCTTACCAATATAACAACTAAATCGCTGAGTAAAATTTAAAAAAAGAGACTTTTACTGATATTTGTTGAGTAGATCCAGAAAACTCCTGGAAAAAAAGCCAAGAAAGGTTCTGAAAATACCGAGAAGCATCTTATCCAATCAGCGTTCATTAGAAGTTTTGCCAGAAACATCTAGAAGTTGGAATGTAACATTTCGAGTTTCTGATTGGATGATTGCTACACCGCTACTATGTTTAGTAGCATTCTAGAATTTTCGGAAAAACCCAAAAACATCTAAAATACTATAAAAACCCAATATTTCCTGTACATAAATGAACCTTTGGAGTAAAGTGTTTCTTACGTACTTTGAGCCTTTTCTCTCGTGTTCAAGTCGCTGTGTAGTTCTAACTTGGGGGTTACTAGAAGAGCTTAGGAACTGAATATAGCGTTCAATTAGCAAGACTTATCAGTATTTTTAAAGAGCTGTTATCTATTTGAATAAAACAGTAAACAATTAAACTGTTGATAAAAATCAAATTTAATGCTTATTCATCATCAATAGTGAAATATAAAGGTTGTGTAAAGAAAATCACTAAAGCATCTAATATATTACCTTTTCAAATTAATTTTTACACCCTATGAAGAAGGATTTAAGGATGAATAAAACTGCATATTCAGTAAAACGATGACTAAGAATGTTTATAAGCTAACACCATTTGAATGAACATGAAAATGAAATTCCTTTTCTACCATGTACAGGGTATATATATATGTTTGGTTTCATTGTTTACTTTAAAGAAGGTAAGAAATTAGCAAAAGGAGCAGAAAAATCCATTTAAATTCAAGACATCTTATCAGCTGTAATAAGCTTGGGTTGGAAAACAAATAGCTGAATACAATAGAAAAGATTGGTGTAACTAAGTTAATACAGCTGAGATACGGAAATTGTCATTATACACTGTAGTTAATAATAATAGATAAGTATATGGAAAATATTTATTGAAAAATAGTTCTACTTGATCTTTTAAAAAGATGGGAGGTCACAGACAAGGCACAACTGTTTTTTGAAACTTCAATGAAGAGAATATTAAACAAGCAGAAATGAGGAGATGATAAATACTGATTACTTCCTAACATCATAAGATGGCTTTAGAACACGTAATCGAACACAATCAGTTCATTTTACCACCACAGTACTAAGCAAAATTGAGAATTTTTCAAAATGTTCACCAAGAACATTCAATGAATACGTGAACTACATTTGTACAAGTTACTTCTAATACTTGCATCAGTTGTAAATCAAACGTATTAGTAATATCCACATTGAAAGTAATGGCTCTTATTCAAAGAGGTACGTTGGTTACAATGACGAATCCTCAGAATAAATTATCTGAAACACTGGTGTAACTTGAATTTTAAAATGTTTTCCATTCGCCACTAGGGCCAAAAGTCTTGGATTGAGCTCTTCGTGTAACTAGGGATGCGGAATGTTGAAGATTTCCGTGTTGGGATAAAAAGCCTGTACAATGCTGTTTCATTTTCTGTATTTCTTTAACTAAAGTCAATCGATGATACAAAACCACAAAACATCCGATAAAATGTATCCAAACAACTTTCGCCTGACGTTCGCTTTCAGTCATAAGGGTTTTTGTTAGTTACCGCTACGTGCAACACATTCAATTAATGAATTCCAGTGTATTCTTCATTTTTTTCCTCAAAAGATAAACATAAACTATTATGTTTCAAAAATTATAGGGTTTCTGACTATATCATTCAATATTTAGCATCACAAAAGCTTTCTAACGTTTTTAAAAGTGTAGGTACATAAAATTATTTAAATCAACCATTAATATGTTAAAATATGCATAATATAAGAAAATATACTGTAATAGTAGCACAATTATAAAATAGGTTGTCTAAAATGCTTAGCAGGTCGCCGTCACCATACAAATTTAGCCCTACTTTTTTCCATTGACAAGCCTTTTTACAGTTGCACAAAAGCAGTTCATTTAGGGTAAAAGGGTTTTGTAAATTCTATGTAGCCTATAATAATAAAGCTGACAAGTAAAATTAGAGATGTGAAATATCAAGAAAGCTCGATTAAGATTAACTTACAACAAACGCATTACTTAAATGTATTGAAATCTAGTGGTTTTTGTAAGATCTACTGGGATATTATGTTGAATACTTGAAGGTGGTTAGCATAAATTATGTGGGAATAAACACCATACTCGGTAGGATTTTTCAATATGACATATCTGAAATCTTTAGAAAGTTGATGGATCGCAAATCTGACTGACAAAATTTATTGAAGAAGAAAGTATGACAGAGTTTAAGTTCTATGATCCAACTGGAAAGTACCAAAGGAGAGATACAAGCTTAAAAAGATAAGTACTATGAGACTGGATTAACCGAAATAAATTCTAATGTAAAGAATAAAACAAATTCGTGAAGTTTGACTTAATGAAAACTTACCTGTGATTTCTCTGCTTTGTAAAATATTTGTTTAGAATTGCTAAACATTGGTCTAGGTAACCATTTAACCATAGCAGTGGCTTGTAGAACAAATGTGTATAGAAATATAAAGCACCAACAAATCAGCAATATTCCAAGAAAACAAATAGCAATTATTCCAATGATCCATATAAAATCATCTTCCTTTTCATAAGCGCCTATATCGTAAACTGGTGAAATAATGAATTTCAAGAAGGGAAGTTTATGTGGTGTTTTTATTATGGCAAAACATTTTTGACAAATTACTTAATCGATTAACTGATTGTACACAAAAATAACATCACTTATTTCAGCAAACGTTTAGTTCCAGTATAGCAGATAATTGGTTTGAACACTATTTGTGTTACAACGTCTCATCTACTTAAGCGTGTTTGAGCATTAAGAATTACTAAACGTATTTTGTATTCTGTTTTGATACGATTCTTCATTAGTCCATCGTTTCCATTAGTTTTGCTAAATATCTTAATTTTTTTTAGCAAAGTCATCATATTGATTATGCAAACTAGTCAACTTATGTGTTTTGTAGATGCCCTCACTAGATAAGATTTTCACTGTTGCTATTCTGCACTTCTGTTAGCAACCGTTGCTTTATTGCCTGTACTTTTCCGTACTACATCTTTACCCTGTTGCTCATATATATATATATATATATATATATATATATATATATATATATCACATAAGCCTTCATAAACCAACTGTGTTTGGTGAAAAAGGGTGTTCCTATAAATTTATGTTTCTTATTTGAATAAAAGCCACTAATTTAGCGATCACTTTTCGTTTGTCATTCAAATGTAAGTTAATTAAAGCAGTGTGATTACCCATGATCATTTTCAGGAGTTATTATCAAAGATAGTAGGGGTTACATTGGCAAAATGTTCACAGATAAATTACTGGTTAAGAAAACGTAATTCTCCGGCTGTTCTTTACAAAATAATATTTACTTTGATACCGACGGTAGTCAAAGTCATAGATGAGCAAATACCGTTGTTGATAATGATTCTGCGTACTAATACAAATAAAGATGAAACGTATGTACTCAAGTCATTATTAAAATACTCTAAGATAACCATCATGTACTTAAAATCAACTACTTAATGATATGTTACCATCTCGCTGATACAAAGATTAACATAGTTCTATTTATAATGAATATCAAAATTTAATTCTTTTTGAATATATTTGCATTACAGAGAACAAATATAGCTAATTAGGTTCTGTTAACTTTATTTCAAAAAACACCTATTTATCTTCGAAATGTTGCTTACTATAACCGTTGAGTTGTATGATAAGAACAGGATGGTCACATAAGAACTTCGTGGTTAGTGCAGCAGGCGTTAATGACTTGGATCCGAAAGCCTGTTAAGTCTTTGACCGAAAATGTAGCAGTTGGGCGTATTAAAATATGTAGCTAATATATGTCAATGAAAGTAAAAGCCTTGTAAGTTGAGGATTATGTGTTAAATGACTTGATTCACGAAATTAAATGTATCCACAACTCCTAGACTGACTAAACCTAGGGGAACAAGTAGGTAATTCAAAAGCTGTTATGACTTGTTGAAGACATGTATTTATAAAAAGTGATTGCGTACTCTCTGGAGAACCGTAATAAATGCTTGTTAGATCGCACTATATATTGTGAGAAACCAAATAAATAAAAGGCACCTTTAGGTCTTTCTATGACTGGCATTCCCAAGTAAACTGCTAACCAGTCCACCGGCATTTGATTGAGCTGGTAAACAATAGAAGGAGAAGGTTGGAAGAGATTATTCTGCTGTACGTAGAAAAATATCTTCAAATATGATCGAGATTCGTCTCTCTCTATGTAATCAACCTTTGAAAATTCAGAAAGATAAGCATAGAAATAGAAAAATAAGAATTAAGTCTGTGTAGTTGATATATCCTATTCATTCATTGCCAGTTACTTACAAGAACATCGTTCTCATGAGTACGGAAGATACCAAGCTGTCATATTAAAAATGTAAATTATTATGTAACTCACTAGTAAACCTCGTAGTCAGTTTTTAAAACACTGATATTAACATGCACTTATTAGGAAGTTCAAATTAATTTGTAATAAATATGATACATCTGCTGAAAAAGTGGTCATAATGGGATGGAGATATTCTGATTAACTTTTTCATTATAAAAAAGCCTATGGAATCTTTAATATATATACTTTTGAGAACTTAGTGTAGTTGTTGGTCAATGGATAACAAATTTTATTTCTCTGTTCGTTTATTTACTTGCTCATTTTTCTGCGTAACCTTTACAAGTTTGTTTGGATAAGCAAAGAAATACTCATCTGGTATTGGTTAACTAATTAGAGACGACCTATTCATATTTGCATATGAGGAATTTACACCCACTAAAATTTATAACCCTAACTAATACATAAGTACCTCCAAAAATACATGTAGCAGTCGTCGTTTGGCGACAAAATTCAATTTGTAGAGATTGATGTAGTACTTGGGAGATTAGAAAGCCTTATGAAACGTGTAAGACTAATGTCAGTTCCAAGACACACTCCAGTCATTTCAGAATGCACTGTTGTTAGTGTCTTATTGGAAGAAATAATTTATCTATGAAATCTAAAACATCGAAGTATTTATATTTAGAAGACTAGTTACTAGCACTTGTAAGTGCTAGTAACTAGTTGATCTGCCATACTACCGCTTAACCGCTCTATCAATGATTTGAAAGTGAGCAGTTATAAATGAGAAGTCCTTACTGAATAGTAATTTTTGCATGACAAATCAAGGACCATAAAATCACCCTCAATTGCTTCCAGTTCATAATTAAAGTTTTATGAAAATAACCCTGATCAACTTTAATCAGTTCTAATTTCACACAACAGACAACCATTTTAACGGCCTACTGATTTACTAATGAAAACTATTTGAAGTCCAATGTTGAAAAGCAAAGCTGTACACAGAAATTATATTATCCATGAATGCAGGTACATAATTCTTTAAAAAATCTGGAAGATCTATCAGTTAACTTACCACGACAGACCTGTTTTCAGCTTCAACCAGACTGAAGTATTCCGAATACGATATTTTGGTACTTTTAAGTGCTTCAGAAATCTTAGACTCCCATACTGTTTTGTTCATCAAAGATTCATTGTTGTGAGGAGGCTTAGTGGACAAAACTACAAGCATTTTTGACTAAACTACCAAGTACCTAAAACAATCCAGAAGACAGACAGACGAGAAGGTTCGGCCGAATAACTCATTAATGGTCCGAACGATAGTAAACATAAAAATACTAACTTATTCATATTCCCTCTTACTCTATGCGGACTGATTATTAGTTAAACATACAATGTAAACAAAACATCTACTTACATGAATTAATAGGAATGACGGAAAAAAAAGAATCATCAACTGAATTTTTTATGATTCTTTATCTGGAAAACTTTGTTTACAGTGAGCTGAAAATTTAAAGAGGACAGTCTATCGGGTTATAATTATTCATATTATGGGTATATTGAGCTAATGTAAAGCATCTGATCACTTCTCTACATTGTCTGTGTGGTAAGAAGCAGTTTCAGATCTTTACTAATCATCACGTACTCTCTTTTTTAGAAAATAAAGTTTAGCATTTGGCTTGTACTGTGTATCGTACTTAATACAATATTCAATGTCTTTGTGACAAGCTTGTGTAAACGGATTGATTTACATGCACTTACTTCTCACTACTTCAGTACGGTTCCATATCTTTGCCAACGCTCAACTGTAGATAGTCTAGGCACTGAACTACACTGATTCTTGTCATTTTGGTTGCAAATTGCGGGTTTCTATACCTTGTATCGATAAATAAATCCCCGAAATAAATAATTCCGTAAGCCTTCAATATTGATAACGACCTCATTCAAGTGAATAATTTTGACTTCGTGCTCGAATGTTTCTGAATTCCATCAGCTATCACATTAGCAAGCTGTAAGTCAGTTGGTTGCAAAGTGAATGGTATTAAAGAGAAAATTGGAATACTAAGAAAAGGCGGATGTTTCTAATAATAAATAGATAGTTTAAACAGTATGAGAAGACCAAACTGTAGGACTCAGTGAGGAGATGAAGATAATATTAATCGAGATCCGAAGTGGTAGCTGATTGACGGAAATAATAACTGTGGTTATTTGTGAGACATGCATCAAACGCAGCTAGTCTAAGGGGAGATCCATAGCTGAATATGTGTTTGTCAAATAGTCTATTGAAGCTGTCTACTGGGAAGGCTGTTATGGCTTGGGCAGAGAGATTATGACATGTGAAGGCAGCTCTTATAGGTAAAAATTGAGAGCGTACCCAGGTTTTTGTCATTTGACATGTAATTTTCGGGAGGTTGCTTCAACGAGCGCGGTGATGACATTCTGATTAGATATGTAACAGCTCAGGTTGGTTGGTTAAGAGTTGACCCCAAACAACCAAGCTTATGCCAAAACAGTATTGTTCAAGTATTCATTCACTTCCTTATTTTTCATAAGCGTTATATTCCCTATTATCTTGAATGTTGAGAGCCTTTGTTTGTCTGAACAGATAATCCCACGCTCCACTGTGACTGCGCGAAGATCGAAATAAAGACCTATTCACTACTTCTCTGGTTTCTTCTATCAATAGCACGAGGGTTACCTTAAGGCACGAAACTGGTGAGCCCTTTTTGAACACAAATTTAACCTCATTTCTGTTATTTACATTTTTTTTACTTAATCGTAAAAGTAGACCTGATTATCCGTAAACTAATTTGAGTATATAACTAGTTTATTCCGTATTATCTTAAGTTATTCGTGTTATAGTAACCACTTTTTGTGCTAACTTTATTGCTATATTTGTCACATACCTCATGTCAGACTCAATAGAAACCCATAATCTGGAGGATTTGTCACCAGTGGAGATAGACACTGTTATGACTACGAAATCCCGACTTTCAGAATTTGATCGTAGTGATCCTGAGTTGTGGTTTGCTCAACTAGAGCATTATTTCACGAGACACAATATCAAATCTGAAGGGATTCGCTATAGAGACTTGTGTTCTATCCTTCCTCCTTCAGTCGCCAAAGAAGTCCGTGACATGATTTTAAGTCCACCATCACCACAACCATACACCATCTTAAGACGAGAGATAATGAACCGTTTATCATTATCAGATAGTCAAAGAATCCAAAGACTTTTTCAAGGTGAAACACTAGGTGATCGGTCGCCGTCACAGTTTTTGCGTCACCTCCAAGTCTTAGTGGGTGATAACACAGTGGGTGAAGCAGTCCTAAAACAAGGATGGATACAAGCTCTCCCATGCTACGTCCAACACTGTTTGGATGCACAGGATCCTGAAACCTCATTATCTCATTTAGCGCGTATAGCCGACAGAATAATGGAAAGAGGTCCTCCAACTGGATCAGGCACAATAAATCACACACAAAAAGTAGAATCAGCAAAAGACCCCGTAATAGAAGGACTCATTGCGAGTGTTAAGAGTCTCACTGAGGCTGTCACCAGAATGCAAATGGGTCATAGAAACAGGAGCAGGTCACCACAACGACCACGATCCAAGTCACAAAACAGGTCACAAATGTCCAGACAATCTGGGCAGTTTTGTTGGTACCACTGGAAGTTTGGGGTCAACTCTTAACCAACCAACCTGAGCTGTTACAGATACTCGTGTTTATGTAGCCTTGCGTAACTTTTATGTTTAATGTGATTATCAAGTCACCTCTTATTTACACTAAGAATAATTCAGAGCATTGGATTCTATCTTCCTATGACTTCTCTAGCACCATCACCTATTTAGATGTCTGCCTCTGTACTTTGTCAAGTAGATATGCGTCTCTTTTGGGGAGAGAGAGAGAGTGGTTGTGAACTTCAAGGTGAATTTGAATATTCGATTTAACAAGTTTGATATAAAATGTGGGTGACTGCTCCAAACTGTCTTCGCATGAAGTGAACAGTTGTATTAGCCCTTACTGTATCTCCAGGGTGGTTCAATCTGTTATCCAAGCTCTATGTTGTTACCAATACGAGATGGAGCTCTGAGGAGACGATTGGGAGCAAATTTCTGTCTCCCAGCTATTCCTATTGCTTAGTAATCTTGGACACCAATTCACTCGACAGGTCCTCAAATCAGAACACAGTTGAACAGGGAAGAGATTGTATTCCAAATAGCAAGGTTAGATGGAAGTAAGAAGCACAGTAGGAAAAACGTTTGTATATTTATAGTTTTTACTTGAGGAGATTGTAGAGTTCTTGAAGTATTGACTAGCGCTGATTGGATAAGAAATAATCATTCAGCGTGCGCCAAAGCAATCGTGTATTGAGCATGTTTTAATCCAATCTATGACCTGCTAACAACTTCCATGGAAGATTTTTATCCCATGGCGGAGAATGCTCTTGACATGACGTTTCGGCTGACTAATTCTCGACCAGTCACCTGCTTTCCATTCTTCTATTGTTGTAAGGTCCTTTAGAATCACAATGAAATTCTTTTCCGACTTTATAAACCTCTAGTTCTTTTCACCGTATGATCATATCAGTGCTGCCGTGCTTAATGTAACTAAACGGCAGTAATAAGCATTAGACAGGGGTGATCTACTACTATTACTTTTGAAGCTACTGATTCTGTGATATTCCAACTCGAGTGCGTATGATTCTTAGAATTATTTAAACTATTATACGAACGGGTAATTCCCTAAATAATTCAATATAAGTCATGTAGAGGTAGATGGGCAGCAACGGACGTATTGTAGTTGAAATTCAAAATCAGGCATGCGTGGAGTTCAAAAGAATCATTATTTTATACAAGTACCACAGTGCACTCTATTTTCCTTGTTGCGAAACAACTTGTACTTGAGGTAATTATGGTTTGAACAGTGAAGCCGGTTTGTGATACTCGACTTCGTGAGGAACTGTATCGAAGGCTTTTTAAGCCATGGAATATAGCATAGATTGGTATCTTTAAGTCCAACCGTTCACTGGGCTGTTCCATGCCTTGGGAAGATTAGACCCTCAGGAAATTCTTTTTGTAGACACGTATAAGGCATCGTGTTGCTCTAATCTGTGCATTACTCCATCTTTTTACTGACCAGTTCTCCTATTATCTTCATTGTTGGTGGGAGTATTGCAGATATTCTGTGGTAGGCTGTAATGTTCCTATCTCCTCCTTTGAACATCCAAGGGAGAGCAGTATATTTCTATTCTCTTGCAAGTTTATTTGACTCTATTGAATGCCTGAGTTGTTTCCATACTGATGAACTAATGAAATCCGCACAGCGTTCCAAGATTTTAGGGCGTATGTTTTCACCTTCTTGTAGTTTTCCTTAATGTGAAGATTTTCGATTTCTTGGTGCCGATCCGAAAGTCGGTTAAATATTCTTAGAGCTCTCAGCTGGTGCTGAAGCTGAGGGGTGGTATGTGTTTTTAGGTTCTTGGTTTAAGTTATCTATGAAGTTGATATTAAAGATTTCTGCTATCTTTAGGTTGGCAAGATTTCCGTTATCTAATGCAGATCTCCTGATTTGTCTCGCCTAACCAAGGGTCTTTTCTTTCCAGCTGTGTGCCTTGCCTGTAGTACAGTGCGTTGGATAGCATTCTGAAAGATAGACCTTACTACCTGTAACGACCGAACAACCAATATTCGGATGGAACAACGGAATGACGAACCCAAAATGTATTCAATTAGACCAGACCAAGTTCCTCTGTATAGCTCACAACGCGTCTTTGAGATACTCGTATTATATTATATCAAAACACAAACTCTGTGCTCAATATAAACAGTTCTAATTAAGAAAACAGAACAGATTACATCAAAAATACAAAATACCTCAAACGGTACAGCCTGTGCTATATAGTCAGAAGTTTCTCTAACGCAAAGTAGTGCGCTAAACAATGAAAGAGACAGTTAATACTAAAGGGTTTGATACCTGAGAATCAATACAAATATTCCCAACAAGATGGGATCAAATATCTATCTTTTGGGATACCAGCAATCCTCCCAAGCAGACAGTCAGAAGGTTCACAATCACACACTGAACCACGCCATGACCTTGAGCTTAGTCAAACACGACCTAACTGTCAACGGTCCGGCAACATGAAATAGAAAATTAGGTAACAAAAGATAAGTCTTTAATCAATATCACATAATAAAGGCTCAAACGAGGAAGACTGAAGAATAAAAGATATGGTTAAACGAGATCGGAACAAAGGTTAAAATACACAACAGGGAGAAGGAACAAATAAATGACAATACTGTTCAACAAGGAAGCTGTAGAGGGATTTTCATCGTTTTCTTTCC